GACCACTAATATAAAGACACAATTACATGTTGCGTGTTCTAAAGTCGGCAAACCTGACTATCTTTATATCTGTGCAGAAAATGATTGCGACGTTAACTATATTAGACACATGCGATTTCTATTGTCTTTTTTTCCAAAAGCCTTTGATGAGGTAGATTTAGTAGGTAGATTTAGAGGTGGTAAACGATGGGGGGGGGGATGAGAGGGGTCATCGAAGACTATCTCTGTATCTGGGCAGACAATGATTGCGATAGTAACCATACTAGACACGTGTGATTTCTATTTTCTTTCTTTTCCATCTTACCAAACTATGCCACAGCAACGCGTGGCCGGGTACAGCTAGCATATATATATATATATATATATATATATATATATATATATATATATATATATATTATATATATATATATATATATATATATATATATATATATATATATATTAGTAGAAGTATATGTGTCGTCTCTGTGGCTAAGTCAGTGCGAATGCTTTGTAATGCCTGGATGCCAGGTTCGATCCCAGCTGCGGACCATACGCCTTGCGTTGGTTTCAACAGGGGTATTAAGAAAGCCGACTGTCCATAAAGCAATGGCAAACTACTAGACGTAAATTTGCCTAGAAAAACTGTTGGGGTTGGTTCTGCAACGTCCTGTAAAGGATACGCAACTAACCTTAGACGTATATGTATTTTTGAGACACCCTGTGAACACATATACACCGTGAATGTAAGATGGTATGAAAGATAAGAAACGCATGGTAGGCGGAGCTAAGACAATTTTCTGCATTAGGATTAGACTTAGGAAGAAGCGGATGCGAGAACGTAAAAAGGAAAGCTGGCATGCCTAGGTCACCGCAGTTTCCATCGGTGAGTTACAGTTAACAAGGTCAGGGCAAGGGAGAGGTGATTTATCACACGGAGTTCACGTGCAGTGATAAATGCTGCGTGAGAACGTGCAACAGTAAAAGTATAGTCAGTTTGCAGAATGCATCCTGTTTAAAGTATGTCGCACAAAAACGGGCTACTTCTTTTTATAGTAGATACCGTGTGGCTTTGGTATGTTGTGTTCTAAAAGTCGAGACAAAATTTAAAAATATGTAACTTAGTAACCGTTTGGTAAATTATTGAAATATGGCACGCTGGCATTTGTGGCATTTGTTTATAAGCATACTCTTGCATTAATATAGTTATAATTTAAAGAAACATCTAGGTTTTTTTTTGTCTTTCTGGCCTTATTTGTGGTTTATGAAAACAGACACCGATTCAGAGCACCAGACTGCACATGTGTGCAGCTGACAGAGTAACTTTGCAAAATATCACACATTTGAGGGGTAATCAGTGTGAAAAAATCAAGGCCCAGGTTTTTTTTTTAAATTAGTAAATTTGATATGTACTGACCTGTCTTATTTACATAATTGTAACTCTTTTAAAAAGCATTTCACTCCGAGGTGACTAATCTCCTGCATTCACCTCCAGTAAGCCCAATAAATGCATTATTTCATTGTAAGCGGGATAGGCTACAAAAAAAATCACCAAACATCCCGCTGCATATGTGAAATGATATCCAAAACTATCTCCATGTTTGTGGTTTCGATTAAAAGATTTGTGTCAATAACTGTAAATTTTTAAGGGTTACACAAATTATTATTCCAGCATAGATCAAATAAATTCGCCGCTTTAAGTTACCGCTAGCACCTGTTCAATTTCAATTATTAAGTCATAAGGACATGGGAAATCTTAGACAACATTTCGAGATATCTGTTAACATTTTGAAAGCAAGACTTCTGGAACGGAATATAGTCATGCCTCGCCACAGCCTTCTGTCTAGTGCAGTTTCAATCAGTTCTGACACAGGTGATCTCCCATGCCATGATGTCAAACTGTCCAGCATCTTCTTTCTCGGTCTCCCTCTACCAGTGCCGACTGCCTTTATTTCCCATGGTATTTCATGTTACCCTTTTAGGGCTAGGTGGACTTGGGAATCATGTTAATAAAAACAAATACACAGTCATGTAGATTTAAACCTAAGACTTCCGAGATAACGTCAGCAGACTAGCGCCTAGTCATTGCGCCACCTGGACTCTCTCATATCTGTTACAATCTGTTACACTTACTTTTTTCCTCAATTAGCGCTGACACCTTGTTGTGCAGAGTGATCTTCATGTACCTCCTTCAACATTTAGACCACAAATTTCAGACATCGCACAGACGTTTTTGCTGCTTTTGTTATTTGACATTCGCAATTGTATGGATGTTTTTCTTTAAGTTCTTGTTAATTGTAAGTGGAATGTTTCTTTTCGTCCTTCTCGTTTTAATCAACTTTTTTCAGTAAAAAGGGGTGAAAGAGATGGGGGAGGGGAGTGGGAGGGCAGCCGTGGGAGTTTTTGTCATATACCCAAGGGGTCATCACCTCAAATAGGTTGAAAAGCACTGCTTTCGTCTGACAAAGTACGGTGAATGCTCTGGCAAACATGCCAGATATAATCAGTACGAAAAGGGTTTTGTTAATCTCGTACGTACTGGTCATATGTTGCGAAATTCATTTTTTAAAAGACAAATCAGCATTCGATGGTTAACGTAGTCAACATAAGGCTGGTCACCTTTTATTTCCCGATACATTTTCATTTGCCAGTTTCAAACTGAGACGACCAGGAAGCCAAGGTTAATCTTCAGGTTGGTGCTTGTCATTATGCTACCACTACTTATACTTATTCAGTTAACGTTAATCGTTTCAAGACTGAACTAATGAGTCCATAATTGTTGGAATTCCTTGCCTGACATTTCCATCCAGGCAACCAGTCAACCTCAAGCAAGTTAGGCTTCGTAGACGTCAAGGAGTAGGTCTGTTTTGTCTGTCTGTCTGTGTCTACCATCAGCGCCGTCTTATCCCATGTGCGTGCTGGGCAATAGCTCGGCGGCCTCACGGGCGTAGGGGCCGCAACCAATCTGTTTGTGAACTAAAGTGAAGGATCCTTTTCCAGGCCTATTTGGCTATAGAACTAGATTTATAAATGAATCAGTACTTGGTGGGTAATGCGGTCAACATCAAGCCGGCCGACTGTATTTCCTAGGACTTTACCTCATACCCATTTAAAGTGGGGTCAACCTGGAAGCAAAGGTCATTTTTAATAAAGTCCTGCTCCGTCAGGGTCTGAACCCACGACCTTCAGTTACACAGGCCAGCGTCTAGCCGCTACGCCATAACGGCTCCCGTATATCAAGTTGTCTTGCCATAAATAAAAATAAATACAATCCTATCAGTGGTTGCCCTAGAGGCAGGGGCTCCAGTACAAAGTTTTCTCATGGACCAAAAATGTTGTTGAGACTGCTAACTCTGTCATCATACCAGCCTGTAATTGTATATCGTTCGTCTCAATGTTATCTCACTGACTGTATTTTCAATTTGACGTCTTATTGGTGTTTTACTCGTTGTTATTTATGTTTATGTTTGTTCGTCTCATACTAGACTGGTGTCTGACATGCTTATTCGCTGCCACACAGTCTATCATCTTGTGTTATTCTGTCTATGTGTTATAATGTTTGCCTCTAATTTTCTGTCTATTATTTTTCTGTCAATATGTATTTGTTATTTCGTTTGTCTTCGTTTACCCTTCTGTCTGTCTGACTCTCTGCATGCCAGTCAGTCTGCCTTTGTTAGATATTATCAGTTTGTCGTTTGATAACATCAGTCTGTCGTTGTTTGATATTATCAGTCTGCCGTTGTTTGATATTATCAGTTTGCCGGTGTTTGATATTATCAGTCTACCGTTGTTTGATATTATCAGTCTTACCGTTGATTGAGATTATTAAGTCTGCCGTTGTTTGGCATTATCAGTCTGTCTTTGTTTGGCCTTTTTAGTCTGCCGTTGTTTTGCATTATCAGTCTACAGTTGTTTTGCATTATCAGTCTGCCGGTGTTTGGCATTATGTCTGTCTGTTTTTCGCCTGGTGCTTATCACATTCCATGGCAACTTAAATGTGTTTCTGTAGTTATCATACTCTTTTCTGCCAGTCCACGCTATGAACTGCACCTAATTGTTAGATGTACTTGCGTAATTTTAACATTTACATGTCCTCAAAATGCATGAAACTAAATAAACCAATGATAAAATCAACAACGCCAAACGATCTAATGAACACTGCTGTCATAAGCAACTACAATGTATTAAATTTAGAACTCCAGTTTTGAAAATGTTTCAGTGACCAAAATATGACATTATTACTGGTTCATAAAATTTTCTTCTGTTTAAATCACAATTAATTACTGGTGTCATTGGGCTAATAGGCTGCAACGGTTGATGCATATGGAGAGAATGGCAGTTAACAAGGAGAGACAATATGGTGGATTATGACTGCCTATTCCAGTTGGTAGGGACCTCAATGGGTAAATACAGATGGGGGTTGTGAATTAAACGCTCACACGTAGAAAATAATCAGTTACACTTTCGTGTGAAGGAGCCAAAATAAGAAACACTGATTTGTGAAAGTGGATTGTGCCCAAAGACAGCTATAAAAAGCATCAGGAGGAGACAGTCATCATATTTTGGCCTTCATATGGAGAGCTATAATCACCCACACCAGTCGGCTAGGCACTTGATTATGATTAGCTGTTTGTGCCTTTCTGACTTTTCAGACGAAAGTGTTTTTTGTAATATGAGGAGGCATGGGACTCACATCAATGACGATGGTGAGTGTTACTAGCAAGACCCACCAGCGTTAAGTAAAGTCTTCCACAATTAAAGTATATCATTTCAGGACCCTTGTTGCCACCATTTGTGTTTAGTGTGTGTCTTCGCAGACGCTCAGCTCTCACCTTGTGTGCAATAATTCTTCCATGATTGTTATTATTTTGTAAATAAAAAAAATAAAAAAAACGTGAAATTATAAGTACTAAGAAATTACCGCAAAATTCAATTAAAATTGCATGTAAAAGATTTTGCAATCTATTCATTCACTATTGCACACAAAAGGATGTATTAAGTATTCACATAACCAGCAGTCAGTTTACAAAAAAACCTCCTAAATATAAACTACAGGAAATGAGTAACAATACGCAGTAGAAGTTCTGAGCTGTATGAAGCCCTGGCATTCCTGCATTAAAGTCATCATCAAATGTCATTGCATGGGCCCGAACCTGTGTCCCGGTACCTCCAACGTACTTCACGGGAGCTGCGTGAAACCTGAAGCCTTTTGGCGGTAGACGTTCTGTGCCCTTGAGGTTCTCGATGATCAAGCGTCCGTTAGGGAGGTATTTTTGGTGAATTGGGAAGGAGGTAATTTTACTTCCGTTGATGGACAAGGGGTCTGGTGTCATTGTGTCTGTGGCTATGATCTTGATGTCACGATTTTCATAGAGCCACATTCCGGCTTCAGCTCCAACGGCTGGAAACACGTAGGTACTGTACACGTGATATAGAAATATACATGTATGTAAGTTAGAGAAACAGGTTAGAACTGCACACATATTATAATAAATTGTCGAAGTATACTCATTTTGCCAAAATACATTGCTTTTTATACAGTTTTGGGTCTTCGTGAGAAAGTGGTTAATTTGTCCGCCTTGGGTACTTTGTTTTTAATTCATCCAAAACAAAGGGAATCTGTGAGTTCTTGGGAAAGTCCAGTTGTCTAGGAGTAATATGGGTTGGGGTTAGGTTTAGAGGGTTCTAAGAGATCTAATCGTAACACTAACCCCGACCCCACAACACCACTAAAAACATTGGACTTTCCCATTTACTCCAGGATTTTCTTTGTTTGTGGCGAATTAGAAAAAAAAGGCTCCGCCTTATGCTCCAAAGGATGAGTGTTTGATTTTGAATTCTGACCTTTGGTTTGCGTAAGAAATATTTTCGGAGATCCCTAGAGGTAGTTGTTGAAAGTATGGCTTTTGTGTTTGGTCAACGCTCCAAATGGCAAATAGTCCTCTGTAAACAGATGTCGAGACATATAGAACAATACAAAACGGAATAAAGTCGAACCTCTTGCCTATAAACACATTACTTTAACCCGAAGTTATTACATCCTGTGGTAATACAATTTAAGAACCTTTGTGTAGTTATTACTACATCCGGTTGCATAACTATGTAATGTGGTCTGATAGGGATTCGATGGCGCTGGACTTGTCTGTTCTGTGGCGAAAAAGAGATAAGCTAGATGTTGTAAGGGTCCTTTAGGAGCGAAAAAACATTGCTGGTACCCAAACAGATTATAATGGTCTGAGGAGAATAGTGCTGCCAGGAGTGTCCAGGTGATCTGGCCTACATTCAACATTCATGGGAATCACGAATCGGATATACGATCAGACTATTACTAGTGCCATTAGAATTGAAACTCTGTACTTGCTGCTGAAGATGGGGACAGAGCGCTTCGTGAGTGCCCTGGGTACCGTGATGTCGATTCCTAATTAAACATGCGAAATTCCCCATGGCAGTAAATAGGAGATGGGTATGTAATATGGTTAGTGGCCAGTACTTTAAAAGAAACCTTTAAAACATATCTATAAACAGCATTCTTGGCATGTGATTTATTAAAAGGTTATGCGTGGCAGAAATATGAAATATCACAACAATTATCGTGACAGCTGGGAGATTAGTTGCGTTCTGGAAACATCCAAATATGCCCATGTGAATTAGAGTTTGTAATGTTTTAGAGAGCGAGACAGACAGACAGACACCCAGACAGACGGACGGACGGACAGACAGACAGACAGACAGACAGACAGACAGACAGACAGACAGACAGACAGACAGACAGACAGACAGACAGACAGACAGACAGACCGACGGACGGACGGACGGACGGACAGACAGACAGACACCCAGACAGACGGACGGACGGACAGACAGACAGACAGACTAACGGATGGACGGACGGACAGACAGACAGACAGACAGACCGACCGACAGACCGACAGACAGACAGACAGACAGACAGACAGACAGACAGACAGACAGACAGACAGACAGACAGACAGACAGACAGACAGACAGACAGACAGACAGACAGACACACACACAGACAGACAGACAGACAGACAGACAGACAGACGGACAGACGGACGGACGGACAGACAGACAGACACCCAGACAGACGGACGGACGGACAGACAGACAGACTAACGGATGGACGGACGGACAGACAGACAGACAGACAGACAGACAGACAGACAGACCGACAGACAGACCGACCGACAGACAGACAGACAGACAGACGGACGGACGGACGGACGGACAGACAGACCGACGGACGGACGGACGGACAGACAGACAGACACCCAGACAGACGGATGGACGTACAGACAGACAGACTAACGGATGGACGGACGGACAGACAGACAGACAGACAGACAGTCAGACAGACAGACAGACCGACCGACCGACAGACCGACAGACAGACAGACAGACAGACAGACAGACAGACAGACAGACAGACAGACAGACGGACGGACGGACGGACGGACGGACAGACAGACAGACAGACAGACCGACCGACCGACCGACCGACCGACGGACGGACAGACAGACAGACAGACAGACAGACAGACAGACAGACAGACAGACAGACAGACAGACAGACAGACAGACAGACAGACAGACAGACAGACAGACACACAGACAGACAGACAGACAGACAGACAGACAGACAGACAGACAGACAGACAGACAGACAGACAGACAGACAGACAGACAGACAGACAGACAGACAGACAGACAGACAGACAGACAGACAGACAGACAGACAGACAGACAGACAGACAGACAGACAGACAGACAGACAGACAGACAGACAGACAGACAGACAGACAGACAGACAGACAGACAGACAGACAGACAGACAGACAGACGGACGGATGGACGGACGGACGGACAGACAGACAGACAGACAGACAGACAGACAGACAGACAGACAGACAGACAGACAGACAGACAGACAGACAGACAGATAGAGAAAACGGAGATTGAGAGAATGAAAGTGGTGTGCAAAAGAGTGAGATATAGGATGTTAAGAAGTGAGCAAGAGTGTTGTGTATAGAGTATACGAGTGAGTCGGAGGGTCAGCGATAGGGTGTGCAATAAATAAAAAGAATGGGATGCAAGATACGAGAGAGTTAGTGGGTGACGCACAGGGAATAAGAGTTGTGAGGTAATTACTACAGAGAAGACGAGAGAGAAAGATACACACACACGTACAGAAAGAGTGAGAGAGAGAGAGAGAGAGAGAGAGAGAGAGAGAGAGAGAGAGAGAGAGAGAGAGAGAGAGAGAGAGAGAGAGAGTAGAGCCCGAAAAACAAATATTAAATCCATGGCAGAAAAATCGCTATAGGAAGTTCCCACTGTACCATTTTCGCGTGTGGTCTTACATTTCACATTCTACAGCTAATGCATTCTTTCTTGCTTTGCCCACAGCAGATAAATAAAGAGGGTTTATATATTACATTGCTGTGACTCATTGGTCTGATTGCAGGTTAATTAACTGTCTACGCTTGTTTTCCAAGATATTCACTATTTCTAGTTCAGAAATGCAGGATAAATTAAATATACATCATGTGAGATCACAATAGCTAGGTCAGAAAATTCATACGGGAAATACAAAGATAATGAGAATAAATCAGGCAGATAGTAATTCGGTTTTTCTCAATGGTATGACACTTTAAGACTTACACCTATTTGGACAGAAAGATAGACAAGTGTAACAGGCTGGAAACGTACAGTTCAGCAGCCTGAAGATCTTGGATTTATTCTGGTTTTCAAATGGCCAAAAGGCCACCGGAACAACTAATAGTGTGAGACGAAAGATGGGGAAAAATCTGGCTCGCTGGGTATAAAAGATTTAGTTTAGCTTTTCAGTGATCTATTCGACCTCCCGACGGACTCTGCGCTAGCCTACTGTTGTAATCTTATTTGGCCTAGAGTTGAAGTTTCTTCTAGTGGGAACAGCACAGGTGAAGGTTCAGACAGCGGCCATGGTTCGTTACCTAGGCGATGGTAATTTCATGACCTAACTGAATTCAGGGCGTAGAAGACAAAGGCTCAGCCAGTTGAGAAGTTTCCATTGTCCCAGTCGGACGTGTGGAAACATTGTGTGACGCTCTGTATGATGATATTATAAAAACGTTTCTCTTTGTGAGGTTTTTGATTAACCGTTGTTTGCGGGAGACAGTTTAATGTCTATTTAGTTATTATAATGGCAGGAGTCCAGTGAGAAAAGATCGTAATCTTTTATATCGTCAGAGTAGATAATAGAGATTTATTATCGTACATGTTTTAATGAATAATTATCATCATCTTGTGACGTGTAATGTTAGAGACATTAAAGTTTATGTGGCCTGTCACAAGCGTTATTGTTGACTCGTAAAGATAGTAACAACTGTATTAGATGATGCTGTGCCAAGTGTGCCAGTTATTATATTATACAGGACTCCACTGTAGCACATCCATCAAGGAGATATCCAGCGGAAAATTAGGGTAGGCACCATAGGCCTAAATACTTGGTTGTTGAATATACTGTGGCTAGTCAACAGACATGGCGACCGTAGGGAAAGTCCGTGGTCTGACTGATTTCAGACGGTGATACGTTCATTTGGTTAATTTTGAGGGTTAGCATTTTAGATTTTGGTCGAGCACGTTGTTGTCGTTAATGTCGTTATTTGTTGGCCACGCTAACGTGATTTTAAATAAAATTGTGTTCAACGTTGTAATCATAGTTACAGTCGTTTCATTCAGCTTAGGACTTGTAGTTAGTGTGCCTAGTTTGTTTTATTCGTTATTTGCCTGGTCTAGACTTTACACATAAGATTTCGTGCCTGGGTGAGATATTCTGATCTCTCCCCCATCAAAACGAACTCTTTTTCTTTATTTTTTTTTTTCTTGGTACTAAGGGCTTTTCCGGTCTAGTACACAAGGATGGCGGAACTGATAGAGATATTAAAATACGTATAAAAAAGCAAGAGGAGCTTTCATGGCACTAGGGGATTTGTAGAGATGAAATTTTTTAATCTAATATTAAACTTAAAATTTGTAATTATAATGTTAAATCAGTACTGTTGTATGAAGGGGAAACATGGAGATCAGACAAGGTAATTAAAAAAACCAACTATAAATATTCATTAACTGTGAATCTACAGAATAGACGGAATTAAACGGTATGATAGAATCACTAATGTAGAGCCTAGGGAGAGAACTAATAAAGTTCGAGTGGACCAAGAAGTAAAAAAGTGACGCTGGCGTTGGATAGGACACACTTTGAAAAAAAACAACAACTGAGAACAATATAAATATAATGTCTTTGTCCTGCAACCTACATGGGAAAATAAAAATAAAGGAAAAACAAAAACACAAAGAAGGGAGCTAGCTGGCCAGTGAAGTTAAAAAGAATGGAAGGACATGATGAGGGCTGTATGTGATAGCAAGGGATAGAATGACTTGGCGTGAGTTGGTTGTTGGCCTATGCTCCATAGGAGGTTACAAAGACAGAATAAGACATAACAATATGGGAGCCACCGTGGTGTAGAGGCTAGACGATCGCCTGCATATTCGAAAATCGTGTGTTCGTGTCCTTAATGAGCAAACTTGACCTTGGCTCGCAGATCTACTCTGCCTTAAATGGGTACCAGGTAAAGTCCTGGCAAGTAAAGGTGGCCGGCGTGATGCTGACTACATAACCCACTGAGTGTCGGTTGGTTTATAAAATATACTCGACATGCCGAATACGCCTGGAGGCGGGGAAAAGGGTACTTTACTAAGACTACTTTATTTTCTGCGATACAGCCGGTGGTGCAGCAAGGTAAGGCAGTAACAGGCTGGGAACATATTTTTTACCCCACCCCCCCCCCCTTCCTCCAATTCCCCGCGGTAGTGATATCCGAGGAGGCCACACCACCCACACTCCCTTTCCTATGTCACTGCATATATCATCCAAGTATTGTATATCACAGTTTGAAATAGAAGACAAGACTGGGTGGTAAAGTGAATATGGAGTATATTGTCACTCGTCAACAGGTAACTTACAACTGATCCTCACTCTCTGAGCCCCTATAGAGGACAGGGTCGCTGAATTTGGAAGACCATCCAAAGTTGAAAATAACAGCTGCTTGCATGGGGATCTGTCCGTGTAGGCTCTCCCAGTCCAGTAGCTAGAGAGAGAGAGAGAGAGAGCGGTTAGTATAATATAGTTGATGAATTAGCTATGTAACATTGACTGCAAACACTAATGATCGTAAAATAGACGATAGAACACCGGACACACGCATAAGGAGGCTGCGTGGTCTCAAGCCATGGTGCCCGTATCGAGTTCTAGAGGTCCCGGATTCGTGCCCCGTGTAGGCTGGTATTTTTTACCTGTATTTCTAGTAATTTTGGCCTGGTCTCTGTGTAGTAAGACCGGTCACCGGTGTACATTGTTGCGCATGTAAAAAAAATCCCTTGGCAGTTGGAAATCGAAAATAGTAGCCTGAAGGCACGACCCGGGCAAAATTAAGAATTAAAAATCTACCCAAAGCTCGTGCACTGCGCTGAGGTTCTTCAGCCTCAGGCTTTAGTTAGACGAAGAATTGACCACTTATTTGTTACACTCGTGTGTCATGATATCGATCCGTTGAATAAACATAAGAAATACCTGTAACTGCTCTTGCCTTGCGAACAAATACAAAATGTGGATAGTATAGGAAATGGTATCTTCCTAATGTTTCTTGAAGTTTTAAAAATACTATATTGTACATGCCTTGCTTTCTGTTTAACCATTTTTTTAAATTGTCATTTAAAACGTTTTGGCAAAGTACCCCATGAAATCGAATACAATGTTGCCTCACAACTTAAATTAAGATGTTTCTGCTTGATTTATTTATTATGATAATAATTAGGCATAAGAAGCGGGTGCTTTTCAGTTTCTCATTTCAGTCACAAACAGACTGAAACTGTTTTAAGGTGACTCTTTCAAGTGCTTAGAACACATGCCGACATTTGCTCCTAGGGCGCCCTCAGATATAAAGTTAGCTAACACGGAAGTATTGAATTTAGTGCACTGGATTACTGCTGATGGCTTCGTATCCGCCAAACCACTAGCCCGCCTGTCGAGAGCATCACACAGTGCACGATTAACAATGGTCTCTGTAAAAACTGCACTCGCGAACCAAACGACGCAGTCTGTTACACGAACCCACGAACTTCATAACACGACGCAAAAGGACTAACCACTTCACTAAAGAGACTCTCAATATAGATACATTGTCCTTTTATTGCTAATTAATTAGTAAAAAGTTGGCAATACGAAGGAATGAATAAAACAAGAACTGACATGCCTGCAATCGGGACATTCCTACGCTGGCTCCGTCTCTTCCTCAGTAGCCAACGAAGAGTCAAATGCTAAAAGTGCCCTGATTCAAAGTTCGCTGTTATTATTACCTTCTTTCAAAATTAGTATTTCAGTGTATATGTTTTCTGTCGGTTTCAATGCGGTGTCTTTCCGATTCGATAGAGCCTTCACCAAGTACACTTTGTCAGAAAGTAACTTACCACCCAGAGGCTCGTCGCAGCCAATCTATTAACCTGCTCATTACCCAGCAGACCTGAATCCACCGCACAGGAAATCCATGATATGCTCATAATCTGAATCTTGTCAAATGACCGACGCAAGCCAATCACAGCATAGAAGACAGCTTTCATTTTCTAAAGTGTGCTCTTTAAGCAATATATTGACATATATCCGAAATAGAGTAATATGCATCGATGTCCGCAATCAGATTGATTATATTTTGATTTCAAGAAGATTCCGGAGCAGCTTAGTTGGAGCAAAAACTAGACCAGGAGCAGACTACTTTAGTGACCCTCTTCCAGTTGTTGGAAAAATTAGAATAAAACTAAAGAACATTAAAAAAACATCACAGAACATCAAGTTAAATTGAGGAATTCTTAGAACGGATAAAGAAATTAACGACCAGTACAATGTCACTGTACAAAACCGGGATAATGCAATGGAAATTATACAGACTATTGATGAACAGTGGGATATGTTGCGTGAGTCAATTCAGCAGACATCTAAAGAGACAATCCCACCAACCCATAGAGTTGCAAAAAAAAAAAAAAAAAAAACAGATGCCAACCGAAATTCTGCAGTTGATGGATGAAAGAAGGAAGAAAAAGAATGATAAAGAAGAATACTCTAGAATACAAAAAGAAATATTGAACAAATGAAAGTGTCTAAAGAAGCCTGGTTGAATCAAATGTGTACAGAAATTGGGAAAAAACAACAGGAAAGACTCACATTCTATATACCAACAGATAAATATGTTAACAGGAAAGATGACACGTAACAGCACTGAATGTTTGAAATCAAAAGATGGTGACTTTTTAATGGGACATAGTATTATAATTAACAGATGGACAGAGTATATAGGGGAATTGTATGATGATAACAGACCAGTTGTAGAACTACAGACCAACAATGATGGTCCACCAATAACGACTGCAGAAGTTTAGGATGCAATACATCATATGAAGAAAGGAAAAGCACCCGGGCCAGACAACATCTCACTGGAAGAAATCGAAGCACTGGGAAATTTTGGAATTGGAATAATAACCAAACTTTTAAATGATATTTATAACAGTGGGTATATTCCAAATGACCTTTTAAAATCCATATTTATAGCTCTGCTTAAGAAACCAGGCACTTTAAAATGTGAAGACCATCGCACAATAAGTCTTATGAGTCACATGACTAAGATTTTACTGAGAATAATAATGAGAAGAATAAGAAACAAAATTAAACCAGAAATCAGCGATGAACAATGTGGATTTGTAGAAGGAAAATGTACAATGCCATATACATCCTAAGGACATTGTCAGAAAGAGCTATAGAAGTAAAGACTGATTTGTACATATGCTTCACAGACTATACAAAAGCATTTGACTGTGTGAAGCATGAAGAAGCAAAAACTGTTAGAAAAATTAGACATTGATGGGAAAGATCTACGAATAATAAAGAATATGTATTGGCAGCATATAGCAGCTATAAGAATAGATAACTGTTTAGGTACATTTCAAAGCATAAAGAGGGGCGTAAGACAAGGATGTGTACTATCACCTGATTTGTTTTCAATATGCAGTGAATATATAATGAGATCTTCGATTTGTATGCCCGGAATTGTGGTTGGTGGGCACAATATAAACAGTTTAGGTTATGCTGATGACACAGTCTTGATAGCAACAAGTCAGAAAGAACTACAGGAAATGACAGACATTGTGGTGTTAGAAAGTGGAAGAATTAGCCTCAGTTTGAATAATGGGAAGACAGAAGTAATGGTGGTATCAAGGAAACGAATTATTCCTAAGTGTGTAATAAAAGTTGATGTTGTTATTTTAGGACAAGTACAGAAGTTTAAGTATCTGGGCACATGGATAACATCAGATGGAAGATGCATAACTGAGATAAGAAACAGAATAGGACAGGCGAAAACTGCATTTTATAAAATGAAAAACATCTTGTGCTGTAATGATGTTATAAATAGGGATAATGTCAGGGGATGATTGGCATAACTGGGGAAGTCCCTGAGAGCATGGGTTTCACGGAGATATGGTGAAACGACAGGAAAAAGTGAGTCACGTGTGAATGAGGAGATTTGGGGGATTGAGAATCAGGCGGTCATTCGGTGACTGGGCCCCAGAGAGAAAGGATGGGAAATGAAGCTGTGAACATGAATGGAGAATGACTAGAGCATGTGGATCTGAATCGGCGAGGAATGAATGATCGAGAAGGCCAGCTGTGATGGTACCCTGTTTGATTGTCAAAGCCAGCTGTGAATATGTCAACGTCTATTGTCCGAATGCTGTAAGTGGATTCACCTGTGATTTGTGTATTGAGCTAACGTGTAAATAAACTCGTGAAATGTGCCGCTGGTGTTAACCGTTGTTAGACGTTGTGTGACCGTGAAGAGGATCATGTCTGCTTTGATTGAGTTGTGAACCTCTAGACATCAGAGCCAGTGTTAACTCTGCACCACAGATAGCCAGTGTGGAGGAGACACAAAAGGGCAGTCATTACATTGGGAACCCGTCCTAAGTGCGAATACACTGTAAGTTATAAGTATGAGTTACAGTGTAGGCTTGTTCTAACTATGCCAGTACATTAGACGTAGTGTTTTTGTGGACAGAAGTAAAATTTAGGCAAATACCGGCAGCAGTAAGTTTTGAGTGACTATGTGTGTTGGAAGATGGAGTTTAAAGAAATGTCGGGGTATTATGTAAGACCAGGACATGCTGTCAAGGGCATTAAGTAAAACCGGGACAACTGAATTCCAGACTCTAGTCATTCTGAAACAAACAAGCTAGCCTGAGAAAAATTGGCAGAAACACGGCGAAACAATACTGGGTAATGTATTCACTTCACGTGTGAAAAAATTGCACAAGTTTCATCCCGCGACGTGGGAACGCTTGTTCGTCGCTGGAAGAGACTGTGTAAGCTGAACTTTTGACCCTTGTGGTGGGTAATCCACGACGGAAAAGTATCAGCAGCAGTATTCCTGTGATCGTTGTTTAACGTGGGTTTTGTTCGTCAAACAAGAGGTCATAAACCAGAGATACTAATTTCGGACTAGATTTCACCGCAAGAACACTGCATTGCCAGGGGCCAAGACGGCACTCAGTTACAGCGAGCAAGGTCATCAACAACGGTCAAGTACAACACAGTAGCAGATAAAACGTCATCAGCGACAGCTAACTCGAGGCAACCTTACAGCACACCGTCCACAAGTGAATGCCTCAGGTCAAGAATACTTGTCAATAAAAAGAACGGGGTCCAGTCAGCACCAGAAGTAGTACTTTTACTACTAAATGTTTGTAATACGTCCGTATAGGTGAGTTCAAGTGTGTATTGTGTAGGCAAGGAAGGAGTGGTGTTTATCAACATTAATTACGTCACGAATGGTTTACAATTTATAATGGATAGACAGTAAAAACAGTGATTAATGTGATAGACTATGACTATTCAGGTTGTAGAGTAGAACTACATACATTCTCTGTAAGAAAAGTATTTCAGTGAGAATCTAACATTTATCAACAGTTTGTGGTGACAATTAGTGAAATTAATATGCGCTAAATGTGAACATTTAGTGATCTGTGCCAACTGATCAACTTCAGTGTA